ATGTCAAATGTGATCACAAATACATTGCTGCCAGATTATAGAGAATAATAATGCTCTATATACAAAATAGTAAAAAAATTCGTAAACGAATTCTTAAATATCGCTATAAATGCTACAACTTTCATCGACAGTTCATATAGGTTTTCCAAGTAAAAGTTGCTGTACTTACCTATAATTAGAGTTGCTTCACACCATCACATTAAACAAAACTAAATTAAATTAAAAAACTTTTTTTTAATTACATAGATTTATTGCCCATCAAACAATATAATTTTTTAAGACAATATGCTGGGTGTAAGTGAAATTAAAAAGATTATGTCCTATGAGATATCCTTTTTTTATTTGACATCTCATTTAAGATCGTATGGAAAATTAAGAAAAAATTAAATAAACTAAGCAAAAATATCTAATTGCATTTTTATAAATCACATAAATAGTCTTCTGCTTAGTTCTTAAACTTTTATGTTCATTCCATTTTTTTTTATTCATAAATAGGCACTACAATATAAATATAAAAATATATGTGTAATTACAAGATATAAATAAATAAATTTAAATTGAATTTCTAATTAGTAACATATATCATCAATGAATTATTTCTTTTTTTGTTAAATTTACGTAATTAATTATATACCATAATTTACTATATAATGCTTACTAAAATTTACAATGCAATACAATATTTTACTATAAGTGATATAAGTTTCTGCAACATTTATATTAAGTATTTAATATAAATTATCTAATATATACATGAATTTAAGTTAATTACATTATTAATATAAAAGCCAATTAGTCGCCAGTATAATCAATAATAATAATTGCAGTTTAATCATATATTTAATAAAAATTATAATTTTGCTGCAATTTTTTGCTTTTAACTTTACTGCTAGCTATAGTTGTAGCGAATATATCTTCAACTGCAGTTTTATTTTTTCTTTAATTTTTTTTATCTAGAAATATTCAAAGTACTTCAAAATATAAACAAAATCCTGCAAGAAAAATTGTGAATACCTACTTTAAAAATGGAAAAATTTAGAATTAGATTGGCCAGACCAGAAGATATGGACAGTGTCCGAGATATGATACAGGTGACTCTTAACTTGTAATTCATTATAAAACTAAAATTAAATTGAACAAAATATTCACTGAATATATAATTTTATATGAACTGATATAATTAATTATTACAAATTAAGGAATTGGCAGATTTTGAAGAAATGCCCGATGGACCCAAAATTAGTGCTGAAGGTTAGTATGGTGAATTCTATTAAATTTTAGTACATACTAAATATATAGAGTCATGCATGTCATTGCGTAGACTCTACACTGTAGAGTATGTAGATATTATATTTATTTTACTTATATATTATATTAATTTATAAAAATTAGATTTAAAGAGAGATGGTTTCGGAGATATGCCACTATTTCGTTGTTTCATTGCTGAATCTTTGGAACAATCAGATCCTAACAAAAATCTACCAATTTGTTATGCTTTAACATTTATATCTTACTCAACTTGGGAAGGAAAATCACTATTTTTGGAAGATTTATATGTTAAACCAGAATATCGAAACAAAGGCGTAGCTACGGATATGATCAAATTTTTGGCTAAGGTAATACAACGATATTACTATTTTATCATTTTTCAATTTTTTTTAAAAAATATGTATAATTTTGATTTTTAGCTTGCTTTGAGAGAAGGTTCATCAAGATTAGACCTTCATGTTTTGGACTGGAACCCTGCTCGAAAATTTTACGAAAAAATGGGTTTCACAAACTTAACTGAAAAAGAAGGCTGGATGTTCTGTCGTCTAACCAAAGGAGCAATGGAAAAGTTAGAAAATTTACCATAACTTCATCTTATTTAATTAGTCATTTTTTATGAATGCTATCAATTGCGTAGAATAAAAAAAAATAGAGACATACACGAATTTGTATTTCCAATCGCTATATATAAATACTAGCTTCGTGGACCAGTTCCCAATGTTCAATCATTTTATATTATTACATATTTGCTAGGAAAGAATTCTAAATATAGGAAATAGGTGAAATTCCAATGATAATTGATTCGGATGCATTGGACACTTTATCCGGTCTTTGGTAGATTAGAAATTATCGAAATTGGAACGAACGTGGTACTTACCTGTAAATTTTAATAGATGTGAAAATATAACTAATTTTTATATAGAAAACGATAATCTTCAAAATTAATTCTCTAAGTAGTTACTAAATAGTTAATTTCGATCAAACAGTTTTAACAAAGTTTCTAAATTTTCCTTTCTAAGGTTTCAGTATCTTTTTATTTGCTATAGAAATGAGCAATAGTAGTTCGGCAGGAATAATTTTTGGTTTCTTATCTTGAGTAAATAAAATTTGTAATATAAAATATTGACTTGGAATATTTACAAAATACTCGTACATTCATCATCCTGGGAGTAGTAGATATTTAATTGAATACAATAAGTTATTTAAGCAATGAATGGTCAAATCGAATATATAAGCATTTTTGAATTTTAAATTATTATGAAAATGTTTATTAATTTTTAGTGATACATATTTGACGACCATATAGAAAACTTCTTGACTTATTCACAACGTGCACTATATATAAACATTTCTAAAGCTACTTGTTAAAGTATTTTAACCTTTTCCACTAGGATGCCGCCGCTCTGGCGACAAAATACGTATCAGTTTCGGAATTCCCGAGTGGGAAGGGTTAATAATACTCCAGAATAAAATTCTCAAATTTTTTTATAATTCATAATTTTTTACCATTGCACATTTAAAATTAATGAATTGCAGAAATTACTAGTTTGGGTTAACATAATTATGTTTTATTATTTTTTATAATAATTTTGTAATTTAATTAATATTAACTTTACAAAGATTTTATATCCAAATTTGGCAATGTAAATTTTTTAACGAATTTACTTTTATTCGTGTATATTGCCATCTGTTAAAAACACTTTGAGTTTTACCTCTAGCCAAATGAGCAATAGATGTCTCATAATTCAGACTACTAAAAAACCAACAGATGTTTTTAAATGAATTTTTGAAATCTCTTGATAAATGCAATACAGGAATAATAATTATACAAGTAATAAAAAATAAATTACTCAATACTATATATCAAAATTTAATCTTCAAATCATGTATGTCACAGTATTATTTCAGAATGTTTCGATGAAAACGTTATGTAATATATAACTTAATGATATATGAAAATAAGTTTCATAAAAATAATTTAATTATACTTTATAGTATCCATGTTTATTTAAAGTACTTCACCAGGATCGATCAGCTTCTTTAAGTTCCTGATGTCCTCATCGGTATTCTATCACCTTGGATTGGTCCATGGTGATATCTATATTTATTAAATTTGTAATTAGGCACCGGTTTTTGATAATACCACGGTACCAATTTATTGTGGTGATTTTTTTTAACCATAAATCAAAAAGTTCCAGTAGTTGTTAATGTCTCATTGATAAGGTCACTCTTCTTATCATATTGATCAGGATCAATAATATTCAATATCAGTCTTCTTACCAGATTTCATGGTTTCCATTGACTTTATTCAATCGGATTTTTACCTTTACCTGGATCAACGTGCAATCTTTTCATACAGTGAAAATCATCTTCAATATTACCATAAGGAGCCTCATTTGACTTCGTTGAAGTCTTTCTGCAAATATATAAAACAAGAGCAGATGTTCTCATTGATGTCCAAACATCTATAAATATAGACTCTGTTTTTTATGATTTCTTTTTTTATTTTCAATTATAATACATATTTTGTATATATCAGTCAGGCAAAAGTGTTGGCCTTTGTATGAGAGATCATACAAAATACCTGTAGATCATGTGAATTCTTTTATATGTATGATGCTATATTATGTATTATTCATTCGTTTATTCAATTTTACTTATATTTATTTTTACATTCATACTTTCTCTGATTCATTCATCTCATTTTGTTTTTATTACCAAAGTAGCATGCATAATAAGCAAAATTTACAATTGATTGGTACATAGATTCAAAAGTAGTTTTTAAAATCCGCGCCAATTTTGTTTCACGTGATAGTTCCACATTTATCCACTCCATCGTGGCGCTGAGTCACGAGTCAACATCTGTCAATGTTTATTAACAAGAAAACGTCAAAAAATGTTTTACATTTTATTTAAATTTGTTTAAAACTGTATATATTTTAAAAACATGTTTAAAACTTGTGGTTGCATAAATATTATATCGTAGTCGATCTATGAATATGGCATTCGATGTATCGTCGAAGGAAACATGCTTTTGTTTCCTTGAAAATAAAAAAATAATCACAATTTATGAATGATGTTGATATATGACACATTTACCAATGAATTTAGAAATATCCCTAATTATATATTTACATAGGCGACAAAAAAGGTTTCCAAATAAATAATGTCAAATTTTTTGAAAAGTTAATATTAGTCTGAGTATCAAAAATGAGTTCTTACGAAACTGCTACCGGATACCATCCTGTGGGAAATGGTGCTTTTACTAGAAATAATATTTGGCATTATTGCGGAAGAATGAAGCTTTCTAGGATAATATTTCTACTGATAGTTTTCTTGTTAATTGTACCATTGATTACACATTATTTTCTATCAAAGGTAAAGATCCTTTTATAGCAACTTACATAAATATATATCATTGATTCTTGCACGAAGAACATGTAATTCATCATATTAAATAGGTTTATTGAACTTGCCTAATTCAATACATTAACCAACGATTGACCTATTTTCCAGGTTGACTCAAAAAATGCTACTGGAATTAGTAGATTTAGCAAAATTGAAGTCGATGAATTTGATCTTTATAACACATTTAAGCCATCTGACCTGAAACAGAGGATTGATGAAATGTTACGAATAAAGGTAATAGAATATATTTCGAATAATAAAATTAAATGGTTCTTTTGCCCAAAGGCCATGAGGTCATTATAAATCAATGATTCTCGTTCCCTCCTTTCTTTATTATTACCATTACTATTTCATTACCATTACTCACTATTATATACATTTTTATATTTCGGATAATAATTATTTTTTATGGCAGGGTACTGTATCTTCAGAATTACGAGTACTGGAATCAAGAAAACAACAATTACAAATGGATGTAGTAGAATATGGAAATAAAATTAAGATTTTAAAGCAGGAGTTACAAAGGCAGCAGGCAGAGATGGAAAGACTGAAAATATCACTTGAACAAGTATGTTGATAGAATATTTTGAGAATGTTAGCCAATTTAGTATAAAATTACATAAAAAAGGGCTCGTCAGGTTCACACGCGATTGAAGTAAAACTTATTTGCTACTGTACAAGATGGCATTTAAGTAAAAATAAAAACATCATACAACAATTTTGAATAATGTTTATTAGTAATATGGTAACACTCGTGATGCACACATTTATTAGTGTCAACCATTATACACATTTATATATTGATAAAATATAAATTATATATTTATAATAGCATTAAAAACATGTATAATATTTAAAAACAATAATATATTTAAAGTCATACTTCAAATATGACATGATCGGTTTGTCATTGTAATTAGCATTTAGAAATGAACCTTCATCAGAGAAATGAAGTAATTGCTGATTAATAACTTCTATAATATTTGTTCACACAGTGGATTACGTTAAACAAATATTGTTTTCCCAACTTCACTCATCATGTAATAATTGTGTTTGAAGAACTTCATGTAATTGAAATTAACATAAATTCATTGACTGATGTTATTTTTTTTTACTTTTTCGCTGGCGATATAATCTCATTCTTTGAACAGGTGTAATATCTGTCTTGATTAAAAAATATCATCCATTTCAATAAGTTCAAAGATTTATAGAAACTACGAATAATATAAAAATAATTTCTAATCAATATACTTGCGTTTAGTACACGGCACAAATGTTTAATTTGTTTTATTATTTTTAAAGAACAGGGTAAAATATTCTTCTGATTCAGGCATTTTTCATTAAATCAAGATTTGTACTAAGATGTAACTTTAAAATGTTTATTTATCTATGCCGATTTTCTTGTTGATATCGGTACGCATACAACGACAGATCTCTATTCACATACACGACCACTATTCACAGTCGACCTGTATAAAAATGATTTCATCGAGACCGAATGACGAACAGTTCGGGTGTAAAGGAACTTCCGTTGTATTTTTACAGAATTACTTTCTAGTCGCGCCCAAAGAAGTTTTACATCAAAAATTGAAATGTTAAAGTTTTCTTATAGTGTATATAGATTTTTTTATCCTTTATTTTTTATTTCTCAGGCTCAGGTGGCGCAACAAGAAGCAGCTTTAAGAAACACTCCACAATTAAAATTACCAAAGCCATTATTACCATGGTATATACCTGAACCAATGTCACCACCAAATAGTCACTCTATGCCCTGCAAAATGTTTACATGTTTTGACCATTCTCGCTGTTCACTGACGTCCGGTTTACCAGTATATCTTTATGATCCGGATACATACACAGTTGTCTCAAAAGACTATGACGTTGATGGATTTTTGAAAACTACAATAAAACAAACTTTAGGCTACAATGCTCATTTAACTCAAGAACCTAAAGAAGCATGTTTATATTTAGTGTTAGTTGGTGAAGCTTTTAAAAATCCTTCAGAATATGAAAATAATTCAAATAATCGTACATATAAAGAAACATCATTAGATATTAATTTGCTATATAAATTACCTTACTGGGGAGCTGATGGGCGCAATCATGTTTTATTAAATTTTGCCAGGAGAGATTTAAGCATTGGATCGGGAAATGTTTTTAAAAATTTTAACACAGGCCGGGCCATAATAGTTCAGTCTACATTTACTGTGTTGAAATTCAGACCGAACTTTGATTTGGTCATTGCACCACTTCTTGGACCACCAGGAGGTGATGTTTGGCAAGAATGTACTCCAATTGTGCCAGCAAGGAGAAAATATTTATTGAGTTTTCAAGGAGAACTAAAGCCAGTAAAGGCTGATACACAAACACATAATATTGAAAATAGAGATGATGAATCACTACTTTCTGATGAAAATTTAGGACTTGTTGATAGTTCATCCATAGATAGTTTCATTTTAAAACAATTACATCATATAACTACTGGAACTACATCAGATAAATTTTTGTTTGAATTTGAATGCATTCCTGCAACAGAGCAAAAAACTGTGGTACCAATTAAAGATTGGTCATTATGTGGCACAGATTCTTCCAGAAGAAATATATTAAAAGATTCAACATTTGTATTAATTTTTGCACCTGGAAATATAGAATATATTTCAACAACATTACTGCAAGCTAGGTTGTATGAAGCTCTTCGTTCCGGTGCTATACCTGTGATACTAGGCGGGGATCAAATAACTCTGCCATTTGCTGAATTTGTTGACTGGAAAAAATGTGTACTTTTAGTACCTAAAGTACGGGTTACCGAGTTGCATTTTCTTCTAAGAGCAATTCCTGATGGTGATTTGCTCTCAATGAGACGACAGGGACGAATGGTTTGGGAGAGATATTTAAGTTCAGTTCAAGTAACTGTAGACACTATAATAGCTGTTATAAGAAATAGATTAGGAATTCCAGCCAAGCCCATTTCGAGTGTACCCAGTGTTAGTGTTTTTAATTCTAGTTTTACTCCTATAAAAATAGCACCAGTGGAATCTGATCCTGAAAATAAGGAATCTTTAGGACCAATTGAGCCTCCACATCCTAGTCCTAGTTATACGAGAAATTATACAGTTATGTTAACACAGGAATATGAAATGTGGAATGTTTGGGGCGATCCATTCAATTTATATCCACAAATTCCATTCGATCCTGTTTTGCCATCAGATGCAAAATTTATAGGTGAGATATACTTATTTTGACTTTATATTTAACTTCCCAAATGAGTAGGTTATAATTTCACTAGAAAATCGATTTGCTAATTTTACGTTTCTAGATTTTAATCTTCAATATATTTCAGGATCCAATTTAGGCTATCGGCCAATTGGGAAAGGAGCTGGAGGTGCAGGAAAAGAATTTTGTGAATCGCTCGGAGGAAATCATCCTCGCGAGCAGTTTACCATAGTAATCCTCACTTATGAAAGAGAACAGATATTAATCAGTTCTCTTAATAGACTGGATGGTTTGCCTTATTTGAATAAAGTAATTGTGGTATGGAACAGTCCAAAGCCTCCACAGGAAGAACTAAGATGGCCAGATATAGGAGTTCCTATACATGTAATAAAATATAGTATAATTAGTTTAAAATATAAATTATTCTTCTGATTAATTAACTTCTCGAAGGAGAAGTTTATGTTTTCATAAAAAAATCCGATTTGCTAATTTTGTTTTCTCGACGTTTCAAACCATTCTGAATCGAATGAGACCAAATTTGGAAAAAGTATGTGTGTGTGTGTATGTGTGTGTGTGCGTGTGTGTGAACAGATTTTTTGCCGTAAATCGACGTTTTCTCCAAAACGGCTGGACCGATTTCAAAAATTTAAAAGCCATTCGATGTATCTCGATGAGTACTAGCGTTTCTGAGTTTTGTGCGATGATCGACCGGCCCGTTTCGTTATAAATCGCAGAAAAGTGACAAATTTTTCGTCCACGTTTTAGCCCGCAATTCTGAATCGATTTTGAAAATTCAAAAACCGTTCGATAGATATTGGTTGGAAATCGTGCTGATTAGTTTTTGGTAAAGTTAGGTCGGGCCGTTTTCTTGTAATAAAGTTTAAAAAAAAAAAAAAAAAATCTACGATTGGTACCATAGTCTTCTAGATCATACTAAAATATTACCGCCCTACGACAACTCGTTTAGCTTTAAAAATTCGTCAAAGTTTGCAAAAGTTAGTATCGTTTTTTTGGCATTTGTCAAAATTAGACCTTTCATCGACGTTTTCTTAAAAACGCCTGAACCGATTTCAGAAATTTAAAAGCCATTTGATGTATTTCGATGAGGACTATTGTTTGTCAGTTTTGTGCGACGTTCTGCCAAGCCGTTTCTTTGTAATTTGAAAAAAAGTGTTAAACTTTTCGTCCACATTTAAGCTCATCCTACCGAACCGATTTTAAAAAATCAAAAACTGTTCGAAAGATATTAGTTGGGAATGGTACTGATTAGTTTTAGGTGAAAATCTACCGAGCCGTTTTCTTGTAATTAAATCTTGAAAAAAAAAAATTAAACCGATTTTTATGAAACTTTTTTTGGCGATACATATCATGGTCTTATAGAACTTACTGAAATATTACGGCCTAACGGCAAGTAGTTTAATTTTAAAAATTCATCAAAGTTTGAGAAAATGAGTAGTTTTTTTGGCGTTTATTAAAATTAAAATTATACTTGGTATAACAATAGAGTAGTCGGTCTTGATGAACATAAAATATTCCGAGTTAACGTGTTCGTTCGTTTTCAATTATATGTAATAAATCCCCTCGGAATACTTCTAATCACTCATAAATTAATTTGTTTATTATTGATTAAGTCGATTATTTACGCATATTGGGAAGTTCATGTAACTTGCCTTAAGGCTAAATACCAATACCAACCAGTTTATTTTATAGTTTGCAAAAACCACCAAGAACTCCTTGAACAATCGTTTTCTGCCATTCGAAGAAATTGAGACAGAAGCCGTTTTGTCTGTTGATGATGATACTGCAATCAGACAAGATGAAATAATTTTCGGTTTCCGTGTTTGGAGAGAACACAGAGATAAAGTTGTTGGTTTTCCTGGAAGATTTCATGCATGGGACTTAAACAATAATAACGGTTGGCTATATAATACAAACTATAGTTGTGAACTGAGCATGGTTTTAACAGGTAATTTGATATTTTATTTGAGGTATAGCTTTTATTAAAAGTCCCAGCTTTAAAGAACTAATTTTATTTTTTAGGTGCTGCTTTTGTTCATAAATATTATTTATTCATGTATTGGAACTGGATGCCACAAGCAATTCGAGATATGGTGGATGAATATATGAATTGTGAAGACATTGCAATGAATTTTCTCGTATCACATATTACTCGAGCACCTCCTGTTAAGGTTAGTACATATTCAGGTTGAACAATAAAATATTATTATTATACTTTTGTAATATTTATCGTTTTTTAAATGAACGATTTTCGTAAAGTTTATTATATGTTAATACTCAAACTGAAAGGACTATTTTACAAATTTACGGATACATACGCAAATATATAATTTAGCATACGTTATTATCGATGGAAAATGAATGTATGGTTTTATTAGATAATCTATTACGTTAATTATTAGAAATATTATTATAATTCTACTACGTTTATTGAATGTATTGCGTTGTTGAGAAGTTCAACAAAATCGCAGATAAAATAACTCTTACTAAAATTCGCATAGGTGACTTCAAGATGGACATTCCGTTGCCCTGGATGTTTAGATTCATTGTCTGATAGTTCTTTGCATTTTCAAGAAAGACATAAATGCATAAATTTTTTCACTAAGGTATTTAATAATCATGTAATAATAAGCTTTATTAATTTGTGTCCAATTAGTAGTAATATATTTGTTGTAGGTTTTTGGATATATGCCGTTGCTAAATACGCAATATCGTGCAGATTCTATTCTATTTAAGACAAGAATACCACATGACAAACAAAAATGTTTCAAATTTATTTAATTTTTTATAGCAATATTTTGAGGACTGAAGCTATGTAAGTATAAATACTTTGTGAAATATTAATTGATGTAAATATTTATTTATGAAGCATCGTGATCCCATTGCCAACAATATGTATTTGATATATTATTTTATAGGTGAGTATATACTGCGAAATGAATGAAGAATGGACGAGATATTTTAGACTAATTTTATCTATAAAACAATTTTTATGATAAAACTATTTTGAATAACTAATACATGCGGTTTTACTGCATAATGTATAGTGTATATTTTGGCGGATTATCAATTCTATTTTATATCTTATTATTATATAAGTTTTCTTTTTTCAAAAGACATTGAAATAATATGAAATACGTGAACAAAACGGTTACATAACCGATGATAAATTTCAATTTATATGATTAAAAATATTTAGTTGGATTTGGGCGAAAGTGTTATGGCTTGATTAAAACAATGTAACTTTTACAAAGAATATTATTAAAATCTAAGTTTTATACTCGTATTAGAAAGAATATTAAATTTTTAGGATTGTCGTCATCTTCAGCAGCTATATTTTATAGATTTTGTACTTGAATATTTTATAATTTGTGATGAGAAATATAATTTAAAAAACAGGCGCAAGAACTAATCGTTCGAACATTAAAGTCAATTTTGACTTATCAATTTTTCTTAATAAATAATAAACTCAGCATCATATAAATATATATATATATATATATATATATATATATATAATACACATACATACATATAAATAATATTGTCTCTAGTCTTAATTAAATTATTATTGTAAAAGACGCACCATAGACATAGACCACAATTAATAAATTTTATGACAATTTTTAGTAATTAAAATATGTAAACGATGTACATTTCTATCTTTAAGGAGTAAATTATTTAATTCTAGGCAACATAATGTGCCATAATGTACATAAAATTAAATATTAAACATATCTTTATAAACTAATGCATTATGTTCTTATTTGACGCAGCTGCTCGCTGGAATAATTTTCTCTTTAAAGGCCGTGTGCGATTGCAGATTTCAGATTCATACTTTTTAATTATATAGAAGAAGTAATAATATTATCTCAATTATTACTTCAAGATTTTGCGATTAATGTATTGTTCTATTTTACACCGTGATACAATTAAAAATATTACATTGCTCGAAATTTTAAGCAAATACCTTGAACTTCTGTAAAACTTATGAACTTTGGCACAAAAAATAGAAAATACACGTGGGTGTGTTTGTTGAAAATTGATTGTTTATTAGTTTTGCGGTTCATTGTAAATAACAGTTTTCGATTAAATTTGCAGCTTTGTTCGGAAAACAAATGACTTAAAATTCTAAAATTATTTAAAATATCAATTAGAAACTTTTCGTTATAAGTTTGATAGTTCTTCTAGCATATTCTGGAAATTTGAAAGCTATTTAATCGCGGTATTCTTTAGATCTAAAAGATAATGCTCCAATGATTTTTGTAATTTACAGGAACAAACACGTCAATTTAAACAAGCCGCCAAAAAAGCTATTTGTAGGTTTACGAAAAGCGAGCTTTGGGCGAGTAAGAGTTTTCTCGAAAAATGTTAATGACAAAATAAAAATATGATTTTTTTTGTCAGTTGTAACAATGATATTTCTATCACAGAAATATTTTGGCTATTTTATGAAAGTAAATTATTTTATAGTTAGAAATTTCATATAAATATTATTATCAATCGTGCAGTAACAATTTACTCACGCACATATATCAAGGATTATTTCGAAGTTTGAAATTTTAACAATACATTAATAGTTATTGTACTGAATTTATTAGTTTATACTGAATAGTTATTGTACTGAATTTAGTAGTTATATATACTGAATTTGCGTGTTTTGTTGTTTAAACATTTACAAAATATTATTTAACATTGTAACCATAGGACCAAGGAAAAGAGACGACATCCGTACACATGGCACGTCATGTGGATGTCGTTCAGGGACGACATTCGTGGCGAAAGGGTTAATAAACAGCAAATTTATTTTCAATATTACTTGACAAAAGCACAATGCTGAAACGAATTAATATATTTATATAGAAAAATGCTTCGACATACGAGTGTAGTTACGGAATGAATTACCTTAATATGTCGGGGTACTACTTAAGTTCATTCTATTTAGTTTGAATTAACGGTTTCCGAACGTAATTCTCTACTGCGAGGGTAGCACGGCCGTATCCTGGTGTCATCATCCGACGCGCTCAGGAACTAAGGGGTAGTTTGTTAGGAAGAGCGCCACCTTTCCCACAATGACGCCTCGCTAATCAATACGGCTCTCCCCGACGATGCGTGACGTCAGCCCGAATAACAGTCGCTATTGGTCGCGATTTCAACGCATAGTATTATTTATTAAGTCCGCATGAATGACTAATATGGAGAGAGAATAAAAACTATCTCCGTTCGAAACGTACACCAGAACACAAGGGACGCACGGCAATCATATGCGATGGTCTCTAACAGCCGCGGTTTATTTATTTCGGCCGAACGATAATGTTTCGCGAACGCGCGGGGTGCTCCGCGAGCAATCGATGCCCGAAAGTGTCCGATAACAGTGCGGTGACGTCAAATGTGTCAGTGTTCCACGGAAAATAATATGACAAATAATCGCGTGTGAGCCACTTTTTGAATGATTTTACAGTTTTTTTGCCCTTTGCCGAATCGGAAGTGAATTTGTTCCGAAAACGAATGGTCGCTAAACATACGTGACGAGGGTGCATGACTAACAAATGTCAAAGTGGGCACCGAATGTGATCGGTTGGGCTGAGATATGATACGAGTTTCATTATGATTTGACTTCATTCGATGACCAAATTAGAAACAAGAACAATGGTTTATCAGTCATATTTGCGCTAACTCTTTAAAAACTACCTTAATAGTGATTCAAAATGGATATGAGGGCAGTACTTGTAAACAGGTAACGCAACGAACGTCAAAGATGAACATGTGATACGATGGATACTTCAAAATAATATGTATGGAATTATGCAAAGTGACTGTTGCGATGTTTCGTTGGACTAATAGTCGAAGTGTATATCCTAGTTTCGTTAAAAAGAAAGTGTTTCGTTTTCGATTCAGGCCGAAGGGCTTGATAAGTACCACTTAAATACTGTTCTCATTATCCACATGGCCAATATGTCTGGGGTTACGACTGATAAATATTGGATTTTATATCAGTTTTATAATTTCTCGACGCGAAGGCGTCTGAAAGGTTAACATAACCTTCCACCTTAAGGGAATACTCCCAAATGAACATTAGAAGAGGAAACTTTCCAATGACATGATTTAACAGTGATATTATTTTAACGAAAGTAATGAATTCAAACATAATTTTGTGATCGGTGCCAAGTGCTTTGTTTTAATCGTGTATCAAGTAAGGAAAATTGTGTTTATAAATACAAAATGGCCGACTTGCCGGATTTATCCCATCTGACTGCAGAAGAAAGAGCTATCATTGAAAATGTCATGATGCGACAAAAGGAGGAAGAAGAAAGGGAGAAAGAAATTATGAGGTCAATCTGAATAAATAATAGCATTGGAAATTTTATCGTTTTCTTATATGTCGCCAGGGCTATATATACACATACAAATATATATAAATATCCCACTTAGAAATTATCTTATTACTTCTTTAGTTTATAAACTTACATTTACCTTTGTAAGATATAAAACTGATATATATGCAGTGAACTTTTTGAAACTTTTGAAAAAATCAGATTTTTTTGAAAATTTTGAAATTGTTTGAAAATTGGGATATTTTTCAAATCGATCACGCTTCTTAGTTGTTTTTTAGACGAAATCTAACTGTTAAACCTTATAAATCTTATTTATGGGTTTCCTATAAAAATGTAAAAAATAGTAGTTATTATTAAAATCTCTATAATATATCTGATTTGATGTAGGTTTGATGTGCAATTGTCTAATAAGCATTTTTACTTCCAAATGGCGTTTTTTTAAAATAAAACTCCGAAATCGTTGAACCTCCTATAAAAATTTAGTTGGCTATTTATTCCGTTTATTCGAATAAAATGTTTTAGAATCATTCCAATCGGACGTTCAGTTTTCTCAAAAACGGAATTGCCATATTTTGCACTTTTTACCCCTTATCTTCGAAACGGTTGCACCCTCCATTGAAAAAAAACGAATCAGCACATCTGCCTATCTATAAAAATAGAGTATTTTTTGAAATCATTCAAATCGGTTAATCCGTGTTCTCGAAATCGTTGACAAAAATTGTTTCCGCACAAACACGTGCATACATTCCTTTTTTTAATAAAGAATGACTAAAAATATTCAGGAGATCTTGAAACGTAACGATATACAAAAGATTTTATTCTCGATTTTATTTGTGATTACTATAACTTATCCTATGTGAAGTTTAAAATTTGTTGCTAGCTTGGTTATTACAACATATAAGTCTATTATTTTTACATGGTGTTTAATATTATATATTCTTGAACTTCAAAAATGCTAACAGTAAATAAGTACAAACATTTAAGTTAGTAATTTGAAAATTTGCAACTAAAAGTTCAGTTTAGTCAATTATCAGTTTACTAAATTATACTGAAATATTATATCTTGATTTTAAGAATTGGTAAGCTCTTAATGATTTGAATAGGTTATCATATAATATTTATATAATAATAACATTTATCCAACTTAAATAATCGTAGAAAAACTATGTTGTTCAGTCTGTTAAAAATCTATCGAAAAATGTTTGTGTTCTATGTAAATATCATAATTTTTTGTTTTTTTTTCTGCTTTCGGAAGATCAAAAAAAAAAAAATATTTATAAACTGAACTCTATAAAAAATTGGTACTAGAAAAAACTTGTTACAACGTTGGAGTCTTTTATTTTCTTAAGGTGTTAATATTCTATACTCCAAAATTGAAAAATGCTAGAAGTAAATAATTCCAAGCATTTAAGTTAAAAAATCGAAAATTTGTAACCAAAATTAATTGGCTGATATGAATTTTGGTAAAACACGGTGTAATTATGTATGCAAGATGTTCTAATTACGTATCGATTAAATTAAAAAATTATTACTCATACGCAGTATTCACAGTACTTTACTTTCTGTACAATTATGAATTTAATTTTCACAAAATATTGGAATTAAGTTAAAATTTTTCAATACGTGCGAAAATGACAGACAAACGCTTCAACCATTCATAATTGAACATTTTGAAAGATTCTTGTTCCGTTATTTTTTTGTTTAATAATTTGCTTTAAAATTGATATTCAATGACTAAATTGATTTTTAGTGACCATCAGATATTACTAATGCCTTTTGCGCTTTATACAATAGTAAAAGTTATTCCATGCCCGATATATACATATATTATGCACATACTGTACTTATTTTTTAAATAAGCTTACAAGACAAAAATAGCAAATTGAATTGGAAAGATCCATGCGCTTTTCTACGCTCTATTTGCTTTTGCATTAACTTGCGCAATAATCTTCAAAAGATTTCCTATTATGGTAAAGGATAAGAATTAACTGAATTTTTTGAATTCTTTACTAATTTTTTGAATTAGGTAACTGAAATTTTAATCTTTGTATTGCAATTCATCAGCATATTCTAATTATTTATATCATTGTGTACTATTATTCATGGAATTACTATTCCATGCTTATAAAAACAATTATTTATTCATATTAATTTCATGCCATGACAATAATCTATATATATTCATTCAAAAATAAGAACACTTATAAAAAAAACTTCTAATATGCAAATACTGTTTCTTCATTATATTTTTTAAAATTAGATGTCCAAAACGTTTCAATTGAAGAGAAAATATACAAATTCGACTTTTAGTTAAATCCATATTGCTAATCTAAGGTTTTAAATAAAATATACATGTGTATTTTATATATATATATATTCATGTATGTATATGCTGATATTATAATTTTTTTGATAGTAACTAAAACGCCTATTTTATAATTTAAAAGGTCAATCTGAAATATGTATAATTATGAAAAATATGAACTGAAGAATTTAAAAAATGCTATTGTCTAATCCCCAAAGAATAAGAGGGTTATTAGTCAGCATCTATTTGTAGGGAAAAATAGATTCAAAGAAATATGTTTTGCTTATAATATTCAAAAAGGTCACGCATTTATGTATTTATATAGATATACAAATAGACAAATGTAATTTTTATTACTAAATTTAATAATGTATGTAATACAGTAAGATTATCACCCGTAAAAGTGTTTCTTAATGTATGGTGTTTCTCTTATAATTGCCTTTTAGCATTAGATGAATAGCAAATTGAAATTATTCAAAATACTTTGTAGTCCAAAACATGCTACAACAATTTTATATACCTTTTCTTTTTAAGATCATAAATTTTGGTGTTTATTATATACAATCTCATAATATTATATGAAGTGGTTAATTCGCGGATAAGATAGAAATGTTATGTTAAGGGTATATATTAGTATTGGTAGGTAGTCACAAATTACAGATTTATCAAAAAGCTATGTATTTGCTGTACGATCAAGCGTTTTTCACATAAAACTTCACGTATGTGCTATCAAAGAGACACCAGAAAGTTGCACTTATGATAAAATTGTTACTCGACAACTGTGCGTTTTGGAGGTTAGGTTTTACGTGTAAAATGCCTGATTGCACAACAAATACATAGACTTTTGACAGTTTGTGACTACCAACCCTTACAGTTATACAACCGTAACATAATATTATCATAGCATTTCTATTTTATCTGAAAATTGGCCCCTGAAAATTGGTCTTTATAAGTTTTTGATTTTTTTCTTAAGATGATTACTTTATTACTTTAATATATATATATATATATATATATATATTTTAAATATAATTACTTTATTATAGTTGATGACTTTCAACTAATTCCTATTTCTATTCATTCTGCAGGAGAAAGCAAGACGAAGTGGCCGTTTTGGAGGATACGATTAGGCAGCGTTCGGAACAGCAGAAGAAGGCCGGCATCGAATTGGACGCCACGTGTCACATCTGCCTCAAGACCAAGTTTGCCGACGGTGTGGGACACGTGTGTCATTACTGTAACATTCGCTGCTGCGCCCGCTGCGGCGGCAAGGTGACGCTGCGATCTTCCAAGGTAATTACAATAAATATTGATATATAAGAAACATCTCAGTATATCTCCTATGAAGTTCTGTTGTAAGATATGTCATAAGAAGCTGTTCTAAAATCAATGACTTACTTGTGTTTCAATATATAAAGACAGTCCATATTTAAAATTTCTTCAAACAAAAATGGAGTTAAGGCGTTTTTTGATGAATTTATGTTTTTTCGACGTTTCAAGTAATTTCTAATTCTTTGAGATCAAACTTGGAAAAATAATGTGTGTGTAGGTATACAAGATAGAGCCAATTTTCAGATGAGATAGAGATTTTATGGTAAACGTTAAGGCCCTGTAGTTTTACACTTTGTCGGCGTTCTCTCAAAAACGACTTAGCGATTTCAAAAATTTAAAGCCATTCGAAAAAAGGCTTCAGATAGAAATTCAGTGCAAACTTTCCATCTACATTGTTACAAAATATCCTGAACCGATTTTTCAGTTAAAAACCGTTTGAAAGGGTTTAGTTAGTAACTGTGCAAATTCTTCTTTAGCATTTTTAATGGTCTGCAAGAACATCCTGAATATTATAGTCCTACAAAAACCACTACAACCACTACAAAAAGTGTTTGAAATATAAAAATTCATTATAGGAACATAGATTCGCGAATTTAAGAATTGAAAGATATCAATTTATTCATTTTCAGTGAAAGCGAAAACTTTATTAGATCTCAATTTTTACCTTGAAGCCAAATGTAACTTACACCTAGTTTACTGTCAAAATACCACTTGCACCTAGTTTTTTATCAAAAAGCAGGGTCTAATAACAAAAAGTAAATAAAAGAAACAAACTTGATTACAATTGATAGAAATTGCATAGAAATAAGAAATAGAACTAAGGTGACCTTGTTTAGGTTGTTAAATAAGTTTATAATATTTTTTGAAAAATAAAGATCCACAGGTTACTTCGTTAATTTTTTTTAGATATGAATAATTGATATCGGTTCCAATATAAATAGAAACAAAAATATATTTGCATATATTTTCTAAATTATAATTAACATAATACTGTAAGCTAAAGTAACTATATAAAATTAAAAAAATACTTTACGGTTACGTTTTTGGTAAATTTTTATCCCAAAATAAAATAACTGTATATAAATGAACACGATGAAACATATTGAGATTATAATTAGTTTGTTTTTTTACTCTATAAAAATCGATGTAGCTTCGCATCGTCTCTTAATTTCAGATCAAATTTTTCTGTAAACGATATTAATATTTTATTTGTGTATACGATTTATTTTGGTAAACACTTCAGTTGTTTAGTTTAAAAATTATTGAAAACAATTACTTTTGCGCTTATAGTAATCGTCAAATAATCTAAGATGAACATTTTTGCATAACTTCACGTTTTTACGTCTTCTGAACATTTTTAAACAACAGATTTGAATGATCCTAAAAACATGTATTTCCGATTTGTGGGTAGACGTGCTAATTAGTTTTTGCAAAGGTAGGGCTACTTGTTTCGGAGATACGGGGCAAAAAGTGCAAATGATGCAAATCAGTTCTTGAGAGAACGGATCTTTTAAATTGAATTATTCAAAAAACATTTCACTTGTATTAATGCAATTAACAATTGATTAAATTTTTGGAAAGGCAGACCAGTGGCTTCGGAGATAAAAAAAAAAAAAATTAGAAAAATACCTCTTGGCGATCAGAAATGGTCATTAGACATATGCACTTCAAATTACAAGATATTTTAAATAAGTTTCAATAATAAGTACAAATTTGTTTACATTTCTGTGAGTTCCATAACGAGATTTATAGCTTTTAACCGTAAGATTTCGATGAGAAAAAAATTAAAATCTTTCACAAAATTTTAAAGTTTTTAAAAATTTTAAATTACGGTACGAGATGTTATCGCAATTTGCCTAAAGGAACTATGGCATACACCACTAGTTTAATTTTTATTCCTAAAATTTTATATCTGTGTGTTATACATGCTTTGTTCTACAATCATTGTTCCACCTACTACATTGTTTTCCCTCATCCGTGAAAAATCGTACCGTAGCAGATGCATAAAGCACAACTTGTCATGTTAACACAGTTAGCGTAGCGTTTGTGAAAACCCCAATAATTCGGTAATAAAATACCACAGCCTGTTACTTAGCAGTTAGTTCAGCTTTGGAACGACGTTCGTGTATAATTGCATCCACACACGCGCTATTTATTTAAAGGCTGGAAAAGCTCCCAGGAAAACATTCGAATGGTAAAAGATAGAAAACCTCATCTACCATTCTTGTTAGTTATTTAATATTTTTTTTACAAGTTTACAAGTTTAGAATTAACAAGTTATCTTATCATTAAAGAGGAAATGTATAATTTTCATTGGTCTTCTAATAGATCCAATTTATATAGATTTTTTGTTAGCAAAATATATTTTTGATACTCATTAGTGATAGTGAAAAACTTCTTAATGTTGTATACTATCATACATTCGTAATTTATACTCTAATTAATTTAATGAAAGTATTTTATAAAGTAATTCTCATTTA